AGCTAGACTTACAATTCTTGGAGAAGCAGCCAGCAAAACATAATTTCTGAATTTGTTGAGGACCATCTTTGATCAACACCTCAGCTTCTGCTTCCGCAGTCTGCACACTTGAAAGCCAGAGTTGAACTTCGTTGAGCGGCTTCATACGTTGTTGTTCAGCAAGATCTACCCTCCGGTTCACGTCATCCCTTCGAGCTTTCAGTTTGGCCCCTTCCACACTCAGAGCTTTAAGATTATCTTCAAGCTTGCATGTGTAACTTGCTTGTCGAGCAACGCAATCCCAGCAACGAGAGACAGTGCCCTCCATTGAGATTGAGACTGAGCACAAATTTCCCATGATGAAAATATCTGATAGATGAAGAAAGAAGGGTGAAATGAATTGTGGGTTTGAAGAGATAAATTGTTTTGATGAATTTCTGAGTGATTGCCAGCCAGGAAGATGCAATGATTTTGCGCCTATGTACGTGTTGACTTAGACATGTTCGGCCAATGCACACATTGCCTTTCAATCTAGTGGAAGAACAAGGACAACCTTCTTACAAGAAAAATAATGCTTCCTTCTTTGTGACTCCTATTATAGTTACAAATGACTTCCATCAATTGCTATTAAAGTACTGCCAAGTGATTGATTCAGTCCAAGGGCATAATGCAGTGGAACCATCATGGATCAGCTTTCTAAACATTGCAGGGTGAACCTCGAGGGATGGCTCGGGCCTTCTGATCCCTTTCTCGAACCGCCTTACCACCTGGTGCATCAGAGCCACCCTCTTAACAAGCGTGCTAACCTGACCTCTGTGAGATGAATTTCCTACTCTGCTTCTGGCACACGAAGTTTGGTCTGATTTATGGACATCTCTACTTATTTCATGTCCTATTAAAATTATATTCAAATTTTAATTTGTAATGAAAAAAATAATTAATTAGTGTTATATTATTTATGTAACTCATTTGATTTTTTTATGCGGTTTTAGTGAGTTAATTTTCTCCAAGTAATGTATATATTGTCGTTATATATAAGTAATATAGATATTTTTGTGTTTTTTTATTTACACACACAGGAAAACATATAAAATTACTCAAATTCATCTTAAATTGTGTTTTATTTTATTTTTATTCTATAATTTTTAAAAGAAAAGATATTTATGTATTGATTTTATGTTGATTTTTTAAATTAATATTACAATTGTATAATTTTATACCGTAAGATATTTACAACTTTCAACTAAAAGTGGATGACTTGAGGAAAATGTTAAGTCCAAATACATTGATGCTTCATGTTTATCAAGGAAATGAGGGTTAAGAATAACAATAATAAGATATTAATTATTTTTTATTTTTTATTTTCAAATTTTATCATTTATCTAAACACTCAAATTTTATAAATATTTTTTTAATTTTAAAAAATTATTACTTCAATCTTATCCAAATTCAATAAGTACTATCCGATAAATACTCAATTTTTAAGTCTCAAAACTTAAAAAAAAAAACAAAGAATTACTCACATCTAATCAAACGAAAATTAAAATTCATAATTAACAACAAATAAAATTTTAAAATCAAAATTTAAATAACTAAAAAGCAGTCGGTATTAAATCTCGAATTCGAAATGGGTAGCAAGCTCTTTATTTAGACCCGTCTCAAACCCGCTTGAGTTCTTTTATATTGAGACAAGTAGGTCCGGATACCCGAACCCATGCTTGAATGGGAAGGGAAGGAGGGGATGAAGCATCAGGGCCAACCCCCAAATTCTAAACCCAAAGCTAATCCAAAAGTTTGAAACCAAAGTTAGTTCAGAGAGTAGAGGCGGGTGGATTGGTTTTACACTTTTTATAGTTTTACTTTATAGGTTCCGTCCAATTCCAATCACTCCGACGCCATGTCCACTTCCGATCCCAACAAGCTCATCTCCAAAGCCGACAAGCTGTAAGCCTCTCTCCCCTCTCTTTACAAATATCTTACTTGTATATTTGTAGAAGAATGTGTTGTAAATTACCACTTAAGATTCTTGGATTTCAACTTTTTTATTTGATATCCGATCCCATCCCTTTTAGTGTTGATTTATCATATTGGTTTGGCGGCAAAGTCAATTAATCAGCCTGACCCAACTTTTCTTTTTCCTCTGTCTGTATGTGTAGAACAAAGCTGAGTCTTACAAGGTGGAGTGCTGATTGGAAAAGTGCCACTGTTTTGTATGAGCAAGCTGGTAATGCTATCTAACCCATTATTCAACCTCTAAGATTTTATCTGAAAAATGGGATTTTTTTTTTTTTGGATTCTTACTATGTAATTTCCATGCTTTTGGGGCCTTTCTTCATTGATTGGATTTTTTGTATGAACAAAGTTGGTAATGCTTTTGGATTTTTTTTTTTTTTGGATTTTATCTACTTGTAGCCAATGGATTTCGAGTTGCAAGAAATTATGAGAAAGCAAAGGTGGCATTCGAGAAAGCTTCACAAGGACAAGAGATGCTATCCTCGTATCCTTATTAGTTTCTTTAACTTTTTCATTGTTTCATTTTTTTGTTTTTCTGTTCTTTTTTTTTATTATTATTATCTAGCATGTATCCCATGCTCAAATGGTTAAAACTTCGAGACTTCAACTTGGAGGTCAGAAATTTGAATCTTGAGATGGGGATGTGATAAGAGAGGGTTTACGTCCCCAATTGTAGCCCGATTCCGAATGGATCTGCACTTGTGCCCAAGAAGTGAACATTTCTCCCTTGTCACATCCTTTATAAGCAAATCAGGCCTTGGGATGCTGCTAAGCACATGGAGTCTGCTGCTGCTCTAGCAAAGGAACTACGCAACTGGACTGAAGTTATTGACTTTTATAGAAAGGCATCTGAGCTATACATGCAGTGTGACAGACCACAACCTGCATCTGATGCACTGGCCAAGGGAGCACGGTAAGGACATTGCTTAAACCTTTTTGTTGGAATTCGGATTGTTCATCTTTTGAGCTCTATGATTTCCAGGTGAGATTTGCCATTACAACTAGTAATCCTGCTTAGAGACATTTGTTGGAAGCTTGACATAATGTTTTTTAACTTCAATCAAAGTTGAACTGCTTAAGTTTTTTGCTTGATCTTATATGGTCAACTGAAGTCAAATTCTTTAAACTTTTCAATGCCATAATAGTATCTTGTTGCGCCACATTATGGATATATGAATATGCCATTTGATTCAAATAGGCTGGCAAACACTAGTAACTAATAGTTAGAATTGCTTTTGTTGGTTTTGGATTATTTCATGATATTTTCTTGTTTATTGTAAATAATATAATTAAACTCTTCTTAATTTTTTGTCTTTCTTTCTTATGCATCAATATAGCTTACCAGCCGCCTGACCATTGACATCACAATCATAGTTTATTTTTCTTTTTTTAATTCTTTTAGTATTTTTTTTTCCTTTTGTAGTGCTTTGGAGGATGCTTTGCCTGATGATGCCATTCAACTGTATACTGATGCTTGTGTTATTCTTGAAGATGATGGAAGGGAACAAATGGCCTTTGATCTATATCGTGCTGCCACTAGTGTTTATGTAAAGCTTGAGAAGTAAGGGTTTGCTTCTTTGTAGTATATTGAGATACATATAATGTTTATATGTATTAAATCCTTCTTTATATGATAGAGAAAATAAAAGTGATGTTCTTGTGCGTCATATGTCTAATATATTCTTAAAATTTGAATGCTGCTGTTTCTGAAAATAAAAGAGGAAAAAGAACAGAAACTGGACCATCGATTTTGTTTTTGCAAGCATATCATCATTAGTTCGTAGTCTAATACAGATTTTAAATGCATTGATGTGGCTGTCTAGAACTAGGGAGTTCAGGTTGAGTAGACTTAAGCTAGTGAATTGTGATGCTATTTGTCAAGCCAATTTTTGGCCTTTGCTTGGTTGTAGGGTCCGATTAGTACTTCCTTGTTCTTATGGTTTTGCAAGAAACTGCCCATGTGGTGGCACTGGACTCATGACCACTTGTAAGATTTCTGTTGTATGTGTTGAACTGCCTGTAAATTTGGAAAATCTGTTTATAGGAAATTACCTTGTTTGCATATGTAAGCAAACCTAATATGAATGGGCATTATTTATGGTTTTGTTATCCTCAGGTACACAGATGCTGCAGCTTTCCTTTTGAGATTGGGCTTAGCAGCTGACAAGTGCAATGCTCGAAATAGTCAATGCAAGGTGCGGCTTTATATCATGCACCCAAATCATTTGCTTGTATTACTAGTATCCGGTCATTCGCCATTCCTTTTCTCTTTGTTTTCTAATTCAGCTGATAGTTTTTTCTCGAGAAGTATGGTAATTGTTGCTGACCTCTCTCTACATCCATGCATGTCTTTAAAAGTCTGTGGTGTTAAAATCTCCCTTACTTGCAATCATCTGTTGCAGATGTGGCTACTGTTCTTTTTACTTGTTTTGCACCAGGTCTTTTTTTTTTAATGTAGGGAAGCTTTGCCAATAAAAATAACATTAACTCTAATATTTTTTTCTTTTATAAAATTTCAGGCATATCTTAGTGCAATTATTGTGTATCTTTATGCTCATGACTTCAAGCAAGCAGAAAAGTGCTACAATGACTGCTCTCAGTAAGTGCAGTTCTCTCTCAGCAACCTTTTTGTAACACTATGTATTGACTTATTCATAGTACTCATATATTAACTAACTTTGGGCTGTGATTTATGGCTTTCAAGTACCTGATCTTGTTAGCACAACAATCTTTAATGCAGTAGCAGAAGGCATCTACAAATCAATAGTACTTTGATTTTCGTTTTTTGGGGTCTATCTTTATCCTGTATAATGACTTTCTTGTGAGAAAAAGGTGATCAAAAATATTATTATCTTTGGATCTTTCAGAATTGATGCGTTTTTAGGAAGTGATCAGAACCGCTGTGCTAGTAAACTTCTTTCTGCTTATACGGAAGGTGATGTAGAAGAAATCAAACGTGTGGCTCAGTCTAGTGCTATTTCCAATCTTGACAATGTGGTAAATTTTTTGACTACTTGCACCTTTGTGTTTGGAAATGCATGATCCTCTCTCATAACATTGTTGATGATATAATTAAGACATTTTATCTTCTGCACATGACGGTTGGGCTTAATCACATATTGAAGATAGATCTGACTTATGCAACCATGGCTGGTTTTATATGCCTAAAACTGTGCAGTCTTCAGCAATACTTAAAATCACATATTTAAGCTTACAAAGTGGATATAGTAAATGGGGCGGGACTTGCATCTCATGTTAATCTAATGACAATCTTGATTGCTTTTGAATTATCCATTTGCATTTCATGTTAATCTTAGAAAGTGGATATAGCCAATGGGGTGGGACTTGCAATTCACTCAATTGCATACATTTGACTGAAATGAAATTGGCTGCAGATCATAAAGCTTGCAAGAAAGTTGCCTACTGGTGATGTTAGTGCGTTTAAGACCGATGCTGCTAACGAGGAAGAACAACTGGATGAAAATGACCTCACTTGAATTCACCTTCACAAAGATTCATAACACTTGTCATTTTGCAATGAGTCTTCGAGTGCACATACCATCCTTATATGTAATTACAAACAAACATCTTTGGTTTAATTTTTCTTAATTTGTCATGATTTTCCAACTTAAATGGTGTTCATCTTGTAAACAGTTGCTTGTTATACGATTGGAGTGCCTATAGTCTCCAATTTTTTTATTGTTATGGTGGAAATGTACTCCTAGTTCTTGGCCTACACAGCCAATTGCCCATGCTGAAATTTATTCTTCTGTTACTTCCCTTTTATAAAGGTGATTGAAACAGAGGAAAGCATTTTATTCACTGAGGCTATGTCTGGTAGGAAGGAAATGAGAGATGTAAGCGTTACTGATTTGGTTTGCTCAGCAATCTCTGTTTTCAGCAGACCTGGTGAAAGTTGTTATTAGCAGCTGCATCCTTGTTGGCTTGTTCATAGTTATAGTTTTAACTTTTTCAAAACCAATGCAATAGGTTTGCTTAGCAATCCTTATTATCAAAATATAAGGAAAATTTAAGAAGTAATATGTTTTAAAATTAAAATATCAAAGTAAGTAGCATTTTTAACAAATCAATGCTAGGGAGTACACTGGGGCAACAAAATAAGTCACTGATTTGTAAGGTTTTTTTTTAATTTTATCATGCTGGTAAGGCACATTCAAGAACTACAGATGTTCTACAATTCCACAAATCTATGCTAGGAATAAAGGCTACAATGTTAGGTCATTTTTCACCAAAATCATATGACATTCACCAGCAGGACATAACTTCACATTTCAAGACAAACACATTGATGGATATTCAATCAGAAAACTCTCCAGCCAGATGGGAAGAGCTTGGACTTCCTAACATTTCACTGCATAGCCCAACCACCAGTTTTTAATCATCTTCTCTTTCAGGAGGCAGACCACAAGGCAGTAGCATTTTCTGTACATAAAGATCGGAAATAATCATACCTTACAATAACGTTTAAGCCAGAAAAAATAAAAGAAAAAAGGAGAGAAAATGAAACAAGAAGAAGATTGCCAAGCTATTCACAACATGCAACCTCTAACAATATAATATTCGACTATCACATCAAGAAAAAAAAAAAAAGCTTATATCTTAGAATAAGTACACATGGAGAAGATGGTGATTCTAGCACACATATACACATTAAAAGAGATAGAGATTAATTGATTTTCGTACTGTATGTCATGTGCAAGGTTTAACTGTTCAAATGCCCTGAAATATTTGTGGCATTTGTAGGACAGCTATATTACAACCCATAACTTGGCTTCATTGCCTCCAAATGGGTTTTCAAATAACAATGATATGCTTTAATACAAAATTCAGACTCCTCCTACTAAAGGCTTGAGTCATCATATCAATAAAATCACATAAGAGTAGGAGTATACAGTTTGGATAAACCAAAAATAAAGTTGAACAATAGTCTAACAAAAGGTAGAAAATACTATAAATGGAAGAAAAAAGTAAAGCTTATAAAGGGAAGGAACAGGGTGTTTAACCATTTCTAGAACCAAATTCCACTTCATTACATGAAACGAGAAGGTAAGATGGTAAGACAAATTGAACCAACAAGTAGTGTTAGTAACTTAGCTGCTTAGCACTAAGTAGGAAAGAAAAGGGCAATTCAATCAAACAACAACATGACAAGCTAGTATGCACAGAGGAAGCAAGATTAGCTGCACTACCTTACCAACATATTTAAACCTCTAGGATTTTAACATGGGGATAAGTATCATAAATTTGGAGTAGTCTGCAGGATCATCATTATCACAACTGTACACATACATATACAAGCTTTTTCTACATATGATTTAGATATTTACTATACCTAGAATCTATCACACACACACACACACACACAGAGAGAAAACCAAAGCAAAAAGATCTACACCTAAAATTGGTTTGGCAGGCAAATGAAAACCAAAGCAAAAGGAAATAGAACACTGCAGCTGAGACCTTTAAAAGAGAGGAGTCATGAGGGTTTGAAGCTAATTATTCCCTGCTGCTAATCTGAATGTAATTCACTTCAGGGATTGGACAATCCTTAGCAATTTCAAGTAAACAAGAGCAACAAAATGAATCCAACTAATGGCATTTATCACTAAGTATTTCGATATACATCACTAAACATCTGAAATAAAATGAAACTCCTTTAGCCAACCAAGATGTTGAGTTTTGGTTCATCATTAGTAGGATGATATAAATTAGACTCATTCCTACAACTAATGGGAATGACCAGTAGCTCAGGACCAATACCCCAAAAGATACAGATTGTTCAGCATACTTGATGAATAGAGACAAGTGGATACCAATCAGAACAGCCGCTAGTATGTCCAGAACGTATTGAAGAGTCCCATCTATGGTATAGGATGTACCTCATAATGTTCATTAGTAAGAGTAACTTGTGAAGGGCAATGTGACATCCACTTGTGTGCAAGATGTGCAACTACTCTACACATCCCCTACAGGATAGAATAGAACTACCACAACTCAACAAAACATTATCCCAATTCCCAACTATTGGCACTCAACAACATGGATAAAGTGTTATACTTTGTTCACCCTAAGGCAAACTTTCAACCCATATATCATATGTTGTTTCCACACATCCTTGGGATACTCCTATCCTTGCAGCACTTAGAGATTAAACCAAATAACTCTCTTTCAGTTGTAAACACTACTGGTCTCTTGGAACACAAAGCTACCATTTTGAAACCCAACAGCAGCGTAGTCAAATCCCAAGGGAAAAAATGAAAAGAAAAGAGCACCCATAGCTTCATATCCCATCAAATTCCAAACCCAGATAATTTTGTCCAAACCTCACACAAATCCAAATGGCAGGCAAGGCAAACAAACATCTTACCTCATCCAAAAATACCCAACAAAAAATAAAGAAATTGTTTTACCTGCATGAAGTTGTAGCGCTCTCTTCCAATGGATTCATTTTCAGCCACAGCAAAGAAAGCCAACATTGGGTAATGCCCTATATACGATGCATAGCTATCGCGTTGAATATTCACTGCCCATTCACTACCATCCAATTCAACGAAGGAAAAAAAAATAAATCAGCAAAATTTCTTTTTTTTTTCTTAAAAAAGAAAGACAAATTAGAAGGAAAAAAAGGGTGTGTCAGAAACTAACAATCTATTCAAATCAGCATGGCCGGTTCCAACGTATTTAGCTTGGAGATGTTCCAGCTGAGAATTGATATTAAACCTATCGCTTGCCTGATAACATTTTATCAAAGAGAGTTTCAAATATATAAACAAGGTTAGGGATTAGAGATAGGGAAGATCTTGATTGAATTTTTTTAAATTAATAAATAAAGATAGGAAATTAGGGTTTTTGATTGGGGAAGGCTTACCTGCATCTTGTCTTCCTAAGCTTTTGAGAATAGAAAGTGAGAAATGAGGGACGAATAATTACTATCAGCTGCAACAGAGAAGTCGACACCAACCGACCCGATTGGAGACCCAAACCCGTCTTTTAATAAATTTTAGGTGAGTAATTTTCCATTAAAATAAAATTAATTAAATTAAATTAATAAAAATATTGGAAGATACGTTCAATTAAATTAATTAATTAGATCAATTTTAATTTTAACATTTTTTGTTCAATTTATCAAATCAATCAATTTTGTGATATAAATTAATAAAATTTTAAAAGTTTTCAAGATTAAATATCAAAATTTTAAAATTTTTAATCAATTAATCGTTAATTTGTATTTAATAAACAAAAATAGTTAAGACAAAAAATGTTTGTTATAATATTTAATATTCATGATAAACAAATTAAAACCAAAAAAAAAGAAAATATATGAAAATATAAACCCTTAAAGAGTTTAAATGGAAAAAATGTATAAAAAATTTTGTAAGAGACGTAAAACCCAAGAGTGCCCCATTAGTGGCAGTTTAATTACTATAATGCCATACAATGGAGTTTTGGCGGGGAGAGTTTGTTAGGACTGAAGGCGTCAGTTATTTCTGATACCAGAATCAGCTCTCTAGCTTTCTGTCATGAGTCATGATGACTGAGTACTCTTCTCTCTCTTTCCTCCTCTTTTTCCTCCTAATTCTCCTTCCCGTTTCCCCTTTCGCTGCCAAGCATCAGCATCGGCATCGGCCACTTCCACCACCACCGCCAACACCGCCACCACCTCCTCCGCTGCATCAGCACCAACTGAACAACATCATTGACGCTCTCATTGGAGCTGGGGACTTCAACAGTTGGGCAAACATGCTTTCAGCCTCTGACGTCTTCATGCTTCCACTTTCAGCTACCCTTTTCGTCCCTTCCGATGATTATCTCTTCCCACTCCCAGGTCAAGTCCCAACTTCCTCCACCGCTGCCTTTGACCCTTTGATCCTCCCTTACCACATTGTCCCCCAGCGCCTTACTTTCTCACAACTCACCCTCTTCAAGCCTTTCTCTCGCTTACCAACTTTACTTCCTTCCAAATCCATCCTCATAACCAACACTTCCCTCTCCAACTTCACTCTCGATGCCTCTCAGATTTCCTACCCTGATCTTTACCTCACATCCGCCGTTGCTGTCCATGGCATTGCCTCGCTCCTCAACTACACTGCCTACGGTGGTGATAGGGGCCTTATCCTTGCCCCCCCACTGCCGCCTCCACCTCCAATATTTCAGCCGCTGTGGGATGGGGATATGAAGGGGTCGGATGCAGGTTGCTTGTATGGGGAGTTTGCATTTGTTTTGTTGCTCATCCCTTGGGTGGTTTGGACCATCAAGATTTATGGGAATCCTCTTGGTCTCTGATGGGTTTTGCTTAATTCTGGTATTAATCTCGGCTTAATCACTGTTCCATTGACTGTTTTCTTCGTGTACCTTTCTTTGCTGTTCTTTGGGTACATTTCCTTGTCTGAGAATTGAGATGATATTGCATTAATTCTTTGTATTCTGCCTCATACTGGCATTCATCAAGAATTAGAATCAGAATTGTTCTCATTTTCTATGTCCCTTTGCTTCATTACATTTACTGTTTGTAATAATTAGTTGTTAACATTTACAATTTCCTTATGTTTTGGTCCACTTAAATATTAAGACTTTGCTTGGTTGGAAAAACAATGAGAAGTGAAAAAAAGAAAGAACATAATAAAATTAAGCCTTCATGGATGAGCTCTGCAATGTTTTTCTGATCAATCTTATCCTTCATGATATATGAGTGCAGCATCAAAAATTTAAATAAAA